CTTACTACCTCAGAGCTTCGCTAATACAGTCGGGAATTTAGAGAGAAAAGGCAAAGAGACACAAAGGAGTTCCAGAGAGGTTATGGAGAAAAGGGATGAAGGAAATGAATGAAATTCGTTGCCTATTTATAGTTGATTTTGGGAAGCACGCCACACATATGGTCGGGTGCGTGTCGCCCAGTTGGTCGGGGGTATGGATATGGCTCCATGCAGAAAGTAACACGTGTCGCAATTTGGATGGTGTGTCAGTGCACACTGCGCATCTGGTCTGCATGCGCGGCTACACGCAAAGATTTATGATTTCCTAAAAGTTCCATATCTTCTCTGTACGAGCTTCGTTTTCTATAGGTTTTATATCCATTCATAGCTATCGACGAGATCTATAACTTTCTTTTAGACTCTGTCGGCTAATTTTAACTTTATTTTTAAAGCTATATTTTTAACATGCTTTGACTAGTAAAGCCCGTATAAAAATCATAATTCTCTCATATGAATTCCATTCTTGACTGTTTTTATATCGATAGAATCATATGGACGAGATTTTTAACTTTCGTTTAGATTGTTTTTCCTAACAATATACCAATCTTTATTTCGGATTTTTTATCATACACTGCTATGCTGAAACTTCTAAAATTCATAACTTTCTCTTATGAAGTTAGATTTAGACGTTCTCTATACAACACACACACACATACTCTCGGTTTTACGATTATTATGACTCCCCTCAAGAACATTTATCCTAAATAGTCCTTTATCAAAAATCATCTATTTATGTGACTGGTCGATCATACTCTAAAGCGAAAATGGGGTGTTACATCCTTTTCCCCAGTAAAGTCGATTCCCCCCCCCCTCTCTCTCTCTCTCTCTCTCTCTCTCTCTCTCTCTCTCTCTCTCTCTCTCTCAGCTTGAAGCTTGAAGTTGTTAAATAAAATCTTGCTCATATCCCTCCCATCTACTTGTTTGGAAGGTAACTTTCTCTCAATTTTCCTTCAAATTCGTGTTAGGGTTTATGTGAAATTGCAAATCTGAATTTCATATCCCATTATGATGTTCATATGAGCTTTAGGTTGTAATTCCATTTCTAAATCCATCTCCAAGCTCCAATTAACAAATAACTGTAAGGTTTACGAGTTTGGATAATGTTTAGTGGGTTTTCAAACCCTAGATCTTCAAATCCAAATTTCCATGTTCCTTGTATTGTGAGATTTGTGAGATCCAATATCACACTAGTTGATATGTAGAGTGTATATAGACATGAAATATGTCATATTGCATAATATTTTGTTAGTTATTACCTAGTAAACACTTAATAAATATAAGAGAGCATGAAATGACTAAAATGCCCTTTATGAGAGGGACATGTGAGGGCGATCAATGGATCCAATCAGATAGTAACAAAGACAGGGATGAAATGTGTGAAACCTCCAATAGAGACCAATTTTGACAAAATTAAAAACTAGGACTAAAACTTTAGAATTGTGCCAACTATAGGAAGCATTTCTGTAATTTAGTCTTGATTGAATAAAATATTACCACGTCCTTGGACTCTCCTGCTTTATAGCTTCTCTCTTCATTCCATCTATACTTAGAAACTTAACGATTCATACACCTCCAATTCGATTTGATAATCAGTTTTTTTTTCCGGCAGAGCAGCCATGGGATCACCTACGACCACCGAAGAGGCCGATAAAAAGAGCCTCATTAAATCCTCTTCCTCCGTCTCCAACTCCTTCCGCCTCCGTTCTCCCTCCCTCAACTCCGTACGCCTCCGCCGTATCTTCGATTTATTTGATACAGATCACGACTCCTTCATCTCCGTTGACGAACTCAACCGCGCTTTGGTAGTCGTCGGCCTTGAAACCAACGTCTCGGAGCTCGATTCTGTCATTAAATCCTACATTCAGCCCGGCAACGAAGGTCTCACCTTCGACGATTTCCAGGCGTTGCACAAGTCCCTTGGCGACCTCTTCTTTGAGGACGGTGGTGGTGGAGAGGAGGAGGATGCCGGAAACGAGGACCGTAGCCAGCAGGAAGAGACGGATCTGACGGAGGCATTCAAAGTGTTTGATGAGGACGGAGATGGATTCATATCGGCGAAGGAGTTGCAGGTGGTTCTGGAAAAACTAGGGTTTGCGGAGGCGAGTGAGATGGGGAGGGTGGAGATGATGATATCGTCGGTTGATCGGAATGCTGACGGAGTGGTCGACTTCTCGGAATTTAAGGACATGATGAAGAATATGTCGCATAAATAGGTAACCCTTCTTCATTCATTTTTCAGTTTTACTTTTATATTAGTTTTTTTTCCTAATTAATTGTTTTTTTGTAAATTTTTCTTCACCATTATTTGTAATTTTATTTTAATTATGACGTCAGTCTTGTACAAGAAAATATGTAACCTTGTTTTGTTGAAGAAATAAAATGTTATTGCGATTACTTAGAGATGGAATATGTTTGTGCATTGGTATTGAAACCTAACCTTGTCTGTTGTATTGTATTTGGCTAAACCATTTGGCTCACGTACATATTTGGATGTTAAATATCCTCGTTGTTAGACCAGAGTATGGAAAACATAAACGAAATCAATGAAGCAATAAGACAAGGACAATAGACCCCACTATTTTTGTTGTTCGTTGAAAGGCTAAGTCCCTTCGAGAACCTCCTCAAACCTAGAGAATGTAAGCAACCATCCCACAATCTCTTCTCGGGAACATAAAGTGATGCTTGTAAGCATGTTTCAGTAATGAATTTGAAGAGCCGAAAGAGAGATTAGCCAGAAAATCAAACCAAATAGCATATTTATAGCACCCAAATTCCAAGTGTTGCAACTCTTGACGAAAAGTTGCAATTGTTCGAAAATACCTGTCAAAACGGGTGAGTATATAACAAAAAAAAAAAAAAAAAAAAAAAAAAAAAAAAAAAACCCTGCTAAACATAGCCACCTTTTAAAGTTCCCTCCATTTTTTCTTTTAAATATTTGAATGGATTTAAAACTAATAAACTCAATAAAATTTACTTATGTTGGACTAGTTGCTACCTGCTAAAGCAAGATAACAACCTTTTTACAAAATAATGTGATAAAAATTGTAATTGCTCCACTGATTGTGAAAATAATCCTACAAGATATAGAATCAAAAACGGAAAAAAATCGTCACTAAATCCCTAATTGACAAATCTTGTTTGTCGAAAAAATTTGTCTTGTTTGCAACTTAGCGGTAGACTTGTCAAAAATTAATGATGAATTTAGTAGCCCGTATGTGTAGTTAGTGAGTCATATACTCATATACTTGACAAAAATCATTGTTTATGATGAAAGTTTATACTTATTACAAATATCAACCAATAATTCTTCGATAAAAGTACATTGATAGCCGCTACTAATAATTATGTTTTTTTTGCATTTTGGATACAATTTAGCGGCAAGACGACTTGTATGTATGTATGCATGTGTATGCATGTATGTATTAGTTTATGGTGTTGATTCATTTGTTTTATTAATAGATCAGATGGGTCTATATCTTCAACTTTTTGCATCTGTTAGTGTATCTTCGATTTTTGCATCATGAATTTTTGGTTTTTATATGAGTTTGATTATAGATGTGTTTCATATTTATTATTGAAATGATAGGTGGTTTTGTGTTGCATTTTTGGTGATTTTGTGGTCGGGGATGGTGACCGGAGGTGGCACCAAGAACTTGATCTGTGATCGAAAATGGTAACTATCCAAATTAAATAAAAAGTTAGAACTAAACATGAAATTTTAAGAAAACTATAGGGACCATCATTCTATTTCTATTGATTTTCCCATATATATATATATATATATATATATATATATATATATATATATATATATATATATATATATATATATATATATATATAGAGAGAGAGAGAGAGAGAGAGTAAACTACACGAATCGTCCCTGGTCCAAGTGTGAAATTGCACGTTCAGTCCATATTTTTGAAAATTAACTCGGACCGTCCCTCACGTATTTAAATACTACCCGTCCAGTCCTTATTGTCGTTAGACGTTAGTTTTCTCCGTTTGGGTGCCCCACGTGCCTTGCAAACAGGGGTATTTTCGTCATTTCATGTTGTCTGCCCATATTAAAGTTGTTTCCTCTCCCCTGCTTTCATTTATCTTCGTTGGTCTCTTCCCCATTACTTATTCCCCCTTTCGTTCTTCGATTATGCTTCTCCAACCAAAAAAAATGGCAATTAGATGCAATTGTGGTGTTGAAGTTGTTATTCGTACCTCATGGAGCAAGAACAACCCTGGAAAATGTTAATATGCGTGTTCTAAACCAATTAATTTTGATTTATTGATAAATCTAACCTACTCTCCTAATTTCTCCTAATTTCTGTAATTTTTAGCATTGTTAAATGTTTCTACACTTACTTTGCAGGCTCGTGGTTGCAAGTTTATTGGTTGGGTGGTGGAGGATCAAAATGTGCTTATATGAACGTTAGGATGAAGCTTGAACAACAAAATCTAAAACTAAAGTTTTATCTAGCTATTAGTTGGTTTATGTCTGTGTCAATTCTAGTGTACAAAGTATAGTATAAGTTATCAGATACGTTTACCTTTGAGCTGTACAAACTGAAGTTGGATGTACCAGTTTGCAAGGTAATGAAAATGTTTTTTTTTTTTTTTTTTTTTTTTGGTATTTCCCAAACATGTATTCATACCAAAACAATAATTTATATCATACATTAAGTTATCAAATCATTACAAACATGCATTCATATGTTAACAACCTAATTAATCATTAAGTCATTCAAACCATTACAAACATCCATCCAATCAACATAGTTTAAAGTACATCACCTTCATAGTTAAAGAAGTAGCACAACATTAGTTCAAACTGAAATTACAGATCCAAAATACATGAAATAACATTGTTTCAAGTACATCAAAAGAATTATCCAACCAAAATACATGAAAGTAATATACAACTAAACCATCAGACTTTTCCCCTTACTCACAGCACCTGAGTTCTGTCACACACCAACATTCAGTTTTACATTACTACCATTGACCTGTGATCCTCCTACCACCTGCCCCTTGTAGCTCCTACCATTATGCCTAACATTTCCACACTTTGAACTTCTACTTGTTCTGGTCCCTCTAGCACTATCATCTTCAGTAGCAGATCTTCTTCTTTTCTTTTTTGGCCTACCAATAGGCACATGATGTTTTGGTGGTAGTAACTTTGTTGGACAAGCACCTTTTTGCCCACATCATCCTCCCATTAATTGGTTCATTTTTAAAGGCATACACTTATTTCCATGTCTTTAACTAGTATGTTAGGTGAAATCCTTTTTTAGGTATCCCAACATTCTCATTATTTTCCTCATATCCCATATAGTTGCAATTATGTGCTTTCATGGCATGCAGTGACCCCCCCCCCCCACTTGTTACATGAGCATGTATGTTGTGCTATGTCACTACACATTCGTCCACACCTTCACCACCTGTAACGTGATACTTCGCATTTCCACAAAATGCAACCCTATACTCTGCACCTTCAACTTTGATCTTCTCTAGAGTCTTGGTAGCTGTAGGAGTTAGTGCGCCAAAACATTTGTCAACTATCTAGCTTTTGGATAATAACAAGATTCTTCATTATGTACTCTCTAATAAATTCCAATCAACTTATAATTGGTTTGTCACGACCCTTGACAAGTTTTCTATTTAATGTCTCACAAAGCTTGTTTAACAATGCATCACAATGTGCTCTTCCTATAGAATAACAATGTTGCATCAGAATTTTCAATAATCTTTTAAGATGCATACAATCAATGATGTTGAATAGTTCTAACATATATAACTTACCTGTGAAGTGAGACCTGGACCAATGTTGGGGTGGAATGGCTTTAGTCCATTCATATGCATCATTGTTCAGTTTTTTCAGTTCCTCCATTGCAAGATTGAATTGTTGTACAATTGATGTTGTTGCATATTTCTAGAGACAATCTTTAAACTCCTTGGCCCTCCACTTTCGCTTCATATTCTCATGGATATGACAAAGGCAAAATCTATTTTCTGCACATGGAAACAATTTTGCAATTGCATGCAAAACACCTAACAACACAAACATAGTCAATTTTATATAATTAATACAAATAATATTAAAGGTTAAGTAGTTAAACTGTGTATATTATTACCTTCTACCTATCAGTTATAAATGTGAAGCTTGAATTGGTAGTCAAATCCAAATCATCACCAATATTTTTTAGAAACCATGTCCAAGAGTTGTAGTTCTCATACTCTACAACACCATATGCCATTGGCTAAGTGTAGTTGTTTCCATCTAATCCCTATAATAGTAAGAAAAAAATAGGTTAACATGTATAAGTCATATGTAAGATTAAGAAGTTAAATCGTGTATGCTATTACTTACCATTGCTATTATAATTATACTAGGGTAGGGATCCTTCATGAATGCACCATCCAGTCCAAGAAAGTCCCTTTTCCCTACTGCAAAAACCTTGTTTCAGTGGCTCAAGACACATACACACGCACACACACACACACACTCACACACACACACACACACACACACACATATATATATATATATATATATATATATATATTCATATACGTCTAAAAATCCTAGTATCTGATGCAGGGTTGGAAGCATTATCCACTTGAAGCTTGACTGTTGTGTTTGGGTTTCGAGTTTGAACCTCCAGCAAATAGTCCCTCAATATATAATATTGACCCCCAAAATAAAGCCATAATAGTTTTTATGACATTTTGTTTTTCCCTAAACAATTTCATTTATGACTTCTAAATTTGGTATTTCCTCTCTAGCTGCTCCTTTCAAGCCCTGTTTTGTATTTCTGGATTAGACTCCAATTGCTCAAGTATTTGTTTGGAAAGAAACTGGTAATTACAAGCTTTGAATTTTCTTGTTTGGAGACATTTATTCTCATTTTCAAACATTTTCACTGTTCAATCATCATCCTTTTTCCATTTACTTACTAAAAGTTTCCAAGGGCACTTATTGCTTTCATCTACTTTCACTGAACTTTTCTATTTTACTGGACCCACCATTACAACTACACTTACTCGGTCCTCCTTTTTCACATGCTTGACAAGGTCCACCATTCATGTTACTTTGATTGGCCCTACTTTTCCCACTAGTTTTACTTGGTCCACCTTTCCTCCAAGTCTCAAGTATCCCCATATGTGGTGTTGTTTCTTTACATACTACCCTGACCCTGTTTTTATCATGCTTGACAATATCCAATTCTCTTCTTGTCTATATTGCATGTAAGTAGATTCTGGCTTTTTCTTCCCGAGAACTTGAGAATGTTTGAAGTATGTAGAAAGGGTCACTCACTTGAGCTGCATCATTTATCTTTGCCCTTTCAGCAGCCCGAATTTTATTTCTTCTTTTAGTCAATTACCCTTCATCAGATGATGACTCAGATTATAGAACATCAGTGTTGATCACATTCATTTTCTCATCTGACATTACTACATTCTCTATTGTAATAGGGTATCACCAACCCACTCCAAATTATCATCAATGTTGAGCTAGAAATCATGCATGTCCACCTCAGGATCATCCAACAAGTTATCCTCATCAACAATGAAATATCTATCATCACTATCACTTGAATCTCCACTACCCTTACTATCACTAGACCAACCTAAGGGTTCGCTAAAGGTTTCCACAATAGGGGGTTCCATGTTTGGTTCTTTCATAGATTCAACTTCAATAGGGGATTCCATTCTGGGGGGTGAAACATGTGTAACATCAATATGATTAGGTAATTCCATGCTAGGTTCCATTCCATTCTAGGGGGTGAAACATGTGCAACATCAATATGACTAGGGAATTCCATGCTAAGTTCCATTATAAGGGTTTTCATGCTTGGTTCTAAAATTAGGGGGTGGGGGGTGTTCAACTGTGGTTGTTTCAATTAAGAAGGGGATTCAATAATCTCTTCAATCATGAGTTTTGTAGGGTTAGGAGACATAGCATATGTATGCAATTTGGTACACCAAAATTCTATATACACTTCTATAAGCTTGTGTGAAGCAACGTAGGACCTTAAGTGGTTGACCTCTTGGTACCTACCGAATGCAAACAACCAAAAATCTACATCCCCTAATAGTCGTGTAAAGTGTCATACATAATCTTACCTTCTTCAACGCAACCCAACTCCTCCATCATATCAGCAATTTTGTGAACAGAGAACAAATCAGTGTTGATCAAGTCCAAAAATTTGTGTTGTCCCTTGATGTATTTTCTCCTAGGAAATTTGGTAAACTCTTCTTTATAGTGTAAGCGTATACTAAAAATAGTTGGATTTCAACCTTCACAAGAAAAAACAACAATATTTTCAAAATCGGGGACAAAATGATCAAGAATAGAGCATAAAATGGTTAACTTTCCTTACTGTAACTGGCTTCCAAATCGATTTCATCCATTTGTGGTTGCATTCACCACCCACTCATCTTCACTTTTGATGGAAAACTAGAGTTTTTGTGAGACGAGAAAGGTTTTGATCAGGGACTGGGTATAAAACGTTTGGATGAGCTGGATATGGCATCATACGTAGTCAATAATATACACATGACATGAAACGATGAAAATACCCCTGCGTGCAAGGTACGTGGGGAACCAAAACATAGAAAACTAACGTCTAACAACAATAGGGACTGGGCAGGTAGTATTTAGATACATGAGGGATGGTCCGAGTTAATGTTCAAAAATAGAGATTGAACGTGTAATTTGGCACTTGAACGAGGGATGATTTGTGTGTGTGTGTGTGTATATATATATATATATATATATATTTGTATGTATGTATATATATATATATATATATATATATATATATATATATATATATATATATATATATATATATATATATATATGACAAAACTACAAAAATGGTCCTTGTGATAGGCATTTTTTCTTAGGTTTGGTCGAAACCTCGATTTTTTTGGTTTCGTGGTCCTTTTGAGCTAGTTATGTTGCAGATTTGTCCCATCTGTAAACTGAAATGACTACAATACCCTTGGGGTATTTGTTTTCAAATTTTCTTTCATTTTTTTTTAAATCTAATATTTATTTAAACAACTAAAAAAAGGGTGTCTCTTTCTCTCTCTCTCTCTCTCTCACTCACTCTCTCTCCACGATAATATTGATAATAAGAAACAATCTTTACTCCACACAATTGATTTCCGGTGCTTCTCTCACACAATTGATTTCTAATGCTCACATAATCAAAGGGCTTCTAACGATAGTCTTCATCCATGCTAACCACCAGTCTCTGTTTTCCAATCTCCAAGACGAGTCGCACATAATGTCAAAGTAAACCCTTAAATCTATAGTTACTTCTCTCCGGGTCTTCATCACTTCTTTCAGTTCCTACGCCGTTTTTGAAAATGATTTGGAAAAATCAACACTGCTGTAGTTAAAGAGCTCCGTTTTCAACCAGTCGGGAGTGCCAACAAGCTAGAGAGAAAGCTATTCAGATCTCTGTTCGTCGGTAGGAGTCTCATGTGGGTCATAATGCAAAATTGATGGGTAAGTTGTCAAATGCTATATTAAAGCTTTCAAAACATCAAATCTTATCACTCTCGTGCAATGATTTAAGTGGTGAAATTCCTGATGAAATTTGGTGTATGAAGAATTTGGAGTGATTAAGCTTGAAAGGAACATGCACGATTGGAATTTAAACTCCAATTTCAGAGATTTGGAAAACCTTAGGGTTCTTTACCTTGGGTTTAATAAGATATCTGAAAAATGCCAAATTAATTATCTAATTTGAAGAATCTTTAAATTTGTTTAAGGATGGCTTTAAACTGGACTGTTAGAGCACTTCTTTTCTTCTTGAGAATAGCCTGGCCTCTGGTTGCTCCTACAATATAGGCTTTACAACTCCAAGCACTGTGATAGAAGGGATGACATTTAAACACTGGGTCTGGCGATACATCTTGTTGAATACCTAAACCTACGAATATGAAGAACAATGAAAAAGGGTTAATTTGTCAATATGAAGAGTAATGAAAAAGGGCTAATTTGATTTGCGTTTTATTAATTATAATAGTTGTTTAGATAAGATTCCAAGCTCGGATTCCTCCAATGGAGTTCAAGTTCAGATTGAAATTATGTGAACGATGATCATAATTACGAAGAGAGAAAATTATGTGAACGATGATCAAAATTATTAAGAGAGAGAGAGAGGGGGAGAGAGAGAGATAAAAAAAGAGAGATGGCCCCTCTTATTTTTTAATTGTTCAAATAAATAAATAATTAGATTTAAATAATGAAATAATAATAGAAAATAAATATCCCAAGGGTATTATAGTCATTTTTGTTTACAACGAGACCAAATCTACAAAAAAACTAGCTCAAAAGGACGACGAAGCCAAAAAAAATATCGGTTTGGACTAAACTTCAGATAAAATGCATACCATATGGACCATTTTTGCAATTTTTTTTTGTGTGTGTGTATATATATATATATATATATATATATATATATATATATATATATATATATATATATATATATATATATATATATATATATATATATATATATAACTTCAAAAATCATATTTGTGGTATGTATTTTTTCCTGGATTTGGTCCAAACCACAATTTTTTTAGATTAGTGGTCCTTTTGAACATGTTTGTATATGGTTTTGGTTCCTCCGATAATTAAAATGAAAAGACAAAATTGAAAAAATGGAACTTGAAGAGTCAAGGATTTAGAACAAGAAGGAGACTTGCTAAGTGTGAAAAACCTAATTTTCAGGGTTTGTACCCAATTTAAAGGACCTTAAGCCCTTTATCCCCCCTCCCTCATCATCTTATCACCCTGAGACAAACCCTAATAGAGCTATCATCCACTGTAAGAGAGAGCAAGGCTAAGAGTGTGTGTTTTGG